TGAATCGACCCAATGAACTAATTGCTTCCTGCAAAAGCTCACGTCCCATTTGCTCCTCTTTTATGTCCTATGGGAGGGGCCAATCATCTCCGAGGTGTGGCCTTATTCCTGAGTCGACCCTGCTTTCTCAATTGTTCTTGTCTTCTGGTAGCCCTGCGCATGCGTAGGCTGGGAACCGGTTCCAGAAACTCCCCCGCCTCACTGCTATCTGAGTCTGAAGGCAGCTGATTGCTGCCAGCCTGCTCTCGCCCCATCCCTGCCGCCAATGCAGAGTCCTCATCCGAGCCCTCCTCAGCCTCCAAGACTGGTCCAGGTTCTTCCCCAACCTCCTCGCTACTATCCAACTCTGCTGCCAGCTCCGTCAGCCATCGGCAGGCCACCACACTATGTTTTGTTACTTTATTATATTTTTCTTATTTTATCCACATTGAGAACTATCTGGAGGTCTAGATTAGGATGAGGAGGGGGTCTGGCTGCCTTCAGCTCTCCTTGCAGCTACAAATTAATCTGGATAAAATCCTGTTCTAGAGCATGTGGAGGACTGATGCAAATCAGTATCAATACAGGACTATATCAATGAAAAATCTGGCCTCATATGAGGGAGCTTTTTTTGTTCTTCTCTTTTCTAGCCTTCTCTCTGCCTTGCTTTAGAAAGCTATAGAAAACTTTTGTTTAAATAAGAGAACAACAGAGTTGGAAGGGACCTTGGAGGTCTTCTAGTCCAACCCTCTGTTCAAGCACTTCAGGCAAATGGTTGTCCAATCTCTTCTTAAAAACCTCCAGTGATGGAGCCCCCAAAACTTCTGAGGCAAGTTGTTCCATTGATAAACTGTTCTAATTGTCAGGAAATTTCTCCTTATTTCTAGCTTGGTCATCTCTTTGATTAGCTTCCATCCATTGCTTCTTATCCTGCTTTCAGGTATTTTGGAGAAAAGGTTGGCCCCCTCTTCTTTGTGGCAGCCCCTCAAATATTGGAACACTGCTATCATGTCACCCCTAGTCCTCTCAGTATTTGATTACACTTCTGCTAGTAAGTTATTGTTATATTCCTTTTTCTTTTACTTGTTTCTGATTTTTTTTTAGAATATGCTAGTTAGGAGAACATCTCCCCTTTAAGCCTTTTCCTTCATTTTTTCCCTTGAACCATTAAACAGCAATCCATTTGTATTATCTTGTACTGCGTGTGCTGTATTTTCTGTGCTTTATAAATACTGAGTGATTATGGTGTCTATTAGCTGTTGCTATTATTCATCTGGAGTCAATTACTAAGTACAAACACCACTTCTAAAATTGAGCACAAATAAATTAAATGAGCAAATATAATAAAACAATATAAACACAATAAAAAGATGTAAAAACAGCTGTACATTTCAGTAGAACCAAGACAGCATTAAAAAGGACCATTAACTAGACAGACTGCCAGAAAAAATGTGCCAGATACCAACACTCCACCATCAACATTACAAGCAGTTGCGCTTCTCTGAGGACATCATTTTATGTGTCTTCTCTGCAGATATCACTGTGGTAGCTAATCCAAATACGTTTCAGTCCAGATTTTTCACTCATCGCTCAAATAGAAGAATGAGGGTAGATGAAAAACAAGGAAAGAAAGGGCAGACACAAAATTAACTCAGTTTCTCACAGTTATGACAAAACATGGAACCTACATCTCCGGGTGGTCAAATCAATAGGATAAAAAGTAAGAACAAGTTTTATTTGGAGGGTTGTTGTTTTTTTTAAATTCAACCCAAGAGAATGGCAGAAGGAAATTAAGTAAAGGATCTTGGGACTCTGTCCATCTGCAGGATAGTTCTCCAAATTTGGTAGGAAAGGAAGGCAACAACAACACAGACTAAAAATGAGCCAGATCTGACCAGGAGGTAGGGGGGACGACCTAGCACATCCTTATGGGAGAGGCGTCTGGGCCAATGCCCTTCTTTCTTTCTTTCTGATCATAGGTTCCAAATAATTGCTATTATCCAAGATTTAGAAAGAATTCCAGAAGCAATGTTCTGTGGTATCTTCCCTAATCCATTTCATTTTTTTACTCTCTTCTGATATTGTATGTTGTTGTTTTTTCCTACAGAGGTATCTTGAATAGTAATTCTATTTTTTTAGATAGAATTGTGCAAGTGAGAAGGGTTATGATGTGCTTGGATTATTAATATACTTCTATCACTCTCATTCTAAAATCAATGGCTTGCATGAGTTTGCACTATAACATAAAAACAATTTTGGAAAAATCTAAACCTAGTCTCTCCAATTAGAGAGGTATGGAATGAAACTTAACATAATATATTTAGATTTCAGCAAGGCATTCGACAAAGTAGACCACAACCTACTTCTTAGTAAGCTAGAAAAAAGTGGAACAGATAGCACCACCACTAGATGGACACGCAACTGGCTGACAAACCATACTCAACGAGTAGTCCTTAATGGTCTAAGTCTACATGCAGTGAAGTAAGCAGTGGGGTGCCACAAGGTTCCGTCTTAGGCCCAGTACTCCTCAATATCTTCATTAACGACTTAAATGAGGAAATAGAAGGGGAATTTACCAAAGAAGATAGGCTCAAGATCCAGATGGATCTTGACAGACTAGAACACTGGGCCATATCTAACAAAATGAAATTCAATGTAGAGAAAAGTAAAGTCCTACACTTAGTCAAGAAAAACCAAAAATATACATATAGACTGGGTGAAACCAGGCTCAATAGCAGTAACTGTGAGAGGGATCTTGGAGTCTTAGTGGACAACCAGCTAAATATGAGCCAGCAGTGTGCAGCAGCAACCAAAAAAGCTAATGCACTCCTAAGTTGTATTAACGGAGGGATACAGTCAAGATCAAGGGAAGTACTAATACCACTCTATAAAGCCTTAGTAAAACCACACCTAGAGTACTGCATCCAGTTTTGTTCACCACATTATAAAAAAGATGTTGAGACTCTAGAAAAAGTACAGAGAAGAGCAACCAGGATGATTAGGGACTGGAGGCTAAAACATACAACAAACGGTTGCAGGAACTGGGCTTGGCTAGTCTAGTAAAGAGAAGGACCAGGGGAGACATGATAGCAGTCTCCCAATATTTGAGGGGCTGCCTTAGAGAGGAAGGGGTCAAGCTATTTTCTAAAGCGTCTGTAGGCCAGACAGGAATAATGGATGGAAACTGAACAAGGAGAGATTTAACCTGGAAATAAGGAGAAACTTTCTGACAGTGAGAACAATCAACCAATGGAACAGCTTGCCCTCGGAAGTTGTGGGAGCGCCATCACTTGAGACTTTCAAGAAGAGATTGGACTGCCATCTATCAGAAATGGTGTAGGGTCTCCCGCTTAGGCGGGGGTTGGACTAGATGATCTACAAGATCCCTTCCAACTCTGATTATCTGTTATCTGTCATCTGAAACTTCTCTGTTTGATCTCACGGTGAGATCAGTTCACTTGTCCACATGCAATTGGTGCATTTTGTTCTGTTTGGTGACACGCACATTCAGTTGAAATATGGAACATGCAAAAAAGGTTTCATTTTCCTTGTGTCATTTCTGAATGAGCATTCATGCTGCTGATATGCCTGAAAGCATCACTACATTGTCAGTGTCTAAACCTCCAGCCATTAGTTTGGGGGCAATAAGCATGAACCCATTTCCACTCCATCCAATTTTAACAGCCTCTAGATATTGAGAAAAGGATATGACTGCATTTCCTGCTGTGCCAGAGATGGCAGTTCATACAGATAATCCCTTGCCAATGAATAATCTCCCCGATGGTTATGGAGGGAAGGGCTCAGCCACACCACAGAACACTCAAAGGTTCATTTTCTCCCTCCCCACAACTACTGACCAAAGCCAGCCAGTAGTAGAACTAGTGCAACACAGAATCCCCCTTCTCATTCCTTTCATTTGGGCTCAGAAGAATTCCCTTGTTGATGGTACTAAATGCAGATAAGGGAGCCGGCAGGACCAGGAGAGATATATTCCCCTCTTCTGGCCCCAACACTAACCTTTTATTCATTTTATTCACAAAGGGAGATCCAGCTACAAGGCTATCATTGTGTGATGTTGATGACTTTTGCATATTTTAAACTGTGCAGATATGATATTTAGAAGGCAATGAAAGCGCTTCCTTTTCTTCATATAACTTTCCATCATATGAATGAACCCATTCATATGGAAAACATAGAGCTAAATCCAAGGATGGTTTTATGTTACCATAAAGCACTTCTGTTTATCTAAGTCATGACATCTTTTATTTTTCTTATGTCTTCTAACTTCTACACTCCTTTGCTCTAAAACATATTTTTCTGTGGAAATCTCTCATAACCTTTAGAAAACTTGCAATGAAAAAGGAAAATCAGAGTTCAAGAAAAACTGAGCACAGTTAGATGAGAGAAGGTTACCACAGGATGCAACTCATCTACACAAGATTTCAGATAAATCATCTGTTTGTGTGGAAATCTAGACTTTAATCCAATTACATTATGAGATTTTATGATGGAAGTATTTTGCCCCATGGAAGATTGTTATTCTGCTTCTTTATTACAGCAAAGTGTCTAATTTTTTGGCAAGCAATCTCACACAATAATGCATTTTCATCTCTCTCTTTCTTTGTGTACACAGGTAGCCCTCCTTTAGCAACCATAACAGGGTCCAGCAACTCAATCATTAAGAAGTGGTTGCTTAGTGGAACTGTGCTTATGACCTACCTTCAGCTTTCCTTTGCTTTATAGTCTTGGATTGTTGTAAAGTTAGTTTTTCATCATAGTCATAACACTAAATTGCAAATGGACACTAAACATGGAAGTCCTAGGCAAGAACTATCTGGATTGCCCATTTCAAATGCCATACAGCAGCTTTCAAATACCATGTTCTTGTAATTTACTGTATCTATAAAATGTCATTTTTTCTTATTGGCTTCACCACTAACTATCCATTCTTTAGGCAATTTCAATCAGGATAAAACTATTAATATATTTGAACACAAACATTTATTTACAAATAAGTTTACCTGAAACAGTACGCTAGATGTTGGTTTCATTCTTTGCTGGAATAGCACATTTAGTGTTTGGTTTTGTTGTTCCAGGTCAAAAACTCTTGTTTTTAACTTCAAGCATTCCTCTCTCAAATCCTAGAGCAAGAAAGAAAATGGCATAAGTAACAACAAGATAACATCTGACCTCAAAAAATATGTGAATACTAGAGTACACTTCATATAAGATATAATCTTTGAAATACACACACACACACACACACACACACACACACACGGTATGTATGTATGTATGTATGTATGTATGGATAGATAGATAGATAGTTAGTTAGATAGATAGATAGATAGATAGATAGATAGATAGATAGATAGATAGAT